GGGGAAAAGACTTATTGGTTGGCGTAGGCTTGCGGCTTGGCAGGGCTCGGCAACTTCCACGCTGCCGCCGAGGTTCCGTCATAATTTGCGATGCAGTTGGTGAAGTGGGCGGCGCTGCCCTGCATCTGGGTGAAGCTTTCCACGTAGAGTCCACCACCTCGGCGCAGGGCGGTGGGACAAAGACCTCCGACACCTCCACCGCAGGCTGTGGGCTATGGTTTGGGGTTTCAGTCTGGCTCTCTTCCAAGCAGACTGGAAACTTGACATGGTGTGACTCAGGAAGCGCTACAGGCTGCTGATTCCATGCCTCCCCGCAAATTGCCTAGGCGTGGGTGGTGCAGGATCCCACTAAAGCCCGCAACATCCGGCAACGATTTTGAGAGGCTGGAGGTTCAGGGTTACATACCTGTGATGATACCTGAAAGCAGGTGACGTCTCAGGCTGTCTGACTGACTCTCTTCAAGAACTGAGAAGAATGCAGGCCCCTGACACTTTTCTACCACTCCTGGTTTCTTCGGGCTGCGACTGGTCATGAACCACTGCAGCCTACAGAAAGCCGGAAGCCAGCAGCACGGAATATTGGATCAAAAAATCCGATGTCCTGCGTTGAGACGGCTACTTCGCAGCGGTTGACGATGTGGATAGGACAAGGAAAACACACGGAGAAAAGAAGATTGAGGCACGGTGTGGTGACCCCAGCAGACGCTGCTTTGTGAGCTTTTTAATTCGATGGGAGCATGGATCCCTTCAAGATGCTAAGGACGTTCGGTCATCATCTTAGCCTGAATCCCCTGAACCTGCCCTCAGCTCAAGGCCCTCTAGAAAAAAATCCATGCCTCAGTACGCACACAGCTGGAACATGTGATTTTCAAGAGCCTGCCGATGCACGGATCATGGGACTCCGAAGGACTCCAAACCGAGTTGATTTGGCAACAAGCCCTGTGCAGCCTGACGTCATTTCCATAGCACTAGAAGAACCGCCCGGATGAAAAGGGAAGAAAGAAGAAGCTCCTGTGTCACTGCAAGAAAGGCTTCCAAACTTCAGACCCCTTCCCGGAGCCCCAGTTGAGTGTGTTCCAGGTTTACAAGCCTGAGGGTGATCTGCGCTTTCAGATCTGGACACAGTCTTACGTCTGCTGCTGTCTGGTCCCGAAGGCGCCCTTGTTCTGTTCTGAAGGTTTGCAGGTGCCAGAAACAAGAATGCAGCATCCTGGCGTCTTTCTGCTCACAGGTTTTTCAGGAATGTGACCACAAACAACCAAACCCGAAGGAGGCACCGCAGTAATGGATGGATCCTTTCAGGATGATACGGACTTTCAGTCATCTTAGCCTGACAACTTGCGCGTCTCGACTACAGCTTTAAAAGGAGGCACAGTAGAAACCTCTGGATTCCACGAGTTTGATCATGTTGGATGTAAAATCTCACTTGCTGTCTTCAGACGGCTACTTTGCAAAAAGGCCGAGGCGTGGAGAGGACTTAAAGAAACGCAGAGAGAGGCAAAGTACCACGTCCCCATCACTCATCTGACAGGAGCATGGACAGGGTTCAGGGCTTGGGGCAAGCACTTTTCGCAATCCTGACCGCAGAGCCGTGCGCATCTCTACCAAAAGTTCGATTCAACGCCTGCCCTGCTCAAGTATCAGACCTGGGCCTGCCGTCAGTTCATGAAAGTACTGAAAACGTGTTACTTATCACCCTGCAACTTCAATTTCAAGAGCAACAAACCCAAGTCAGATTTTTAGCACAACCCGCTGTACGGAGGGAAAGAAACACTTATTTCTTGGCGTAGGGTTTGCGGCTTGGCAGGGCTAGGCTAGGCAACTTCTAGGCTGCCGCCGAGGTTCCGCGATATGCGATGAGGTTGGTGAAGTGGGCGGCGCTGCCCTGCATCTGGGTGAAGCTTTCGGCGTAGAGCCCACCACCTCGCGGCAGGGCGGTGGGACAAAGACCTCCGAAACCTCCACCGCAGGCTGTGCCCCCAAACTCGGCCACTCTCCATGAATTCTGACAATCATTAGCGTGTAGGGCTATGGTTTGGGGTTTCGACTGCGCCAAGCTGCCATGCATCCGGGCAAAGCTGTCGGCCAGGAGCTCACCACCTCTGCGCGGGGCAGGGGGAAGGCTTCTGAGACCTGCACCGCAGGCTATGCCCCCAAACTCAGCCACTCTTCATGAATTCCGAAAATCATTAGGGCTAAAGTTTAGGGCTAGGGGCTTCATACAGCCTCGCCCTCTTCCAAGCAGACTGGAAACTTGACATGGTGTGACTCAGGAGGCGCTACAGGCTGCTGATTCCCAAAAGCTCTGTGATGCCTCCCCGCAAATTGCTGAGGCGTGGGTGGTGCAGAATCCCACTAAGCCCGCAACATCCCGCAACGATTTTGGGAGGCTGGAGGTTCAGGGTTACATGCCTGTGATGATACCTAAGCGCTCGGGAAGTCTCAGGCTGTCGTTCACGCAGACCTCATGGACAGCGTCTGCCTCTAAAAGTCTGCGCTGAGATCCTGCTACATGAGCTTTCCCGGGCCGCTTTAGGTCTATGACCCGCTGGAACTGGGTAATAAACACGACTGTACGGCCCTGGAGCACAATGTTAGAAGATGCCAAGGATGGGGCAAAGCCTCAACCCGGGCCTGCAGTGATCTTATGACTTTAAAACACAACACAACTCGGATGCTTCAGGATATTTTTGCAGCGAAACAGTTAGCGGGTCATCTACCCTCGGGTTTTAAGCGCCTTCGCATGACCTCTTCGGTTTCCAGGACGTGCACGCCGGTGTGGCTGACTCTGCAAGAAGTGAGCAGAATGCAAGCCCGAGACTTTTCTACAACTCCTAGAATAATAGTAATAATAGTAATAGTAGTAATAATAGTAGTAGTAGTAATAATAGTAACAATAGTAATAACAATGGTTATATGGGGGAATATGGAAAAGAAAATGGAAACCTGGTTTCTTGGGGATGTGAACGGTCGCGAACAACTAAGGCATACAGAAAGCCGGAATGCAGGCCTAGTGGATGTACAAAACGTCAGGTCCTGTTTCGAGACGGCTACCTCGCAGCCCTTGACGGTGCGGATAGGATGAGGAAACCGAAGCAAACAAAGAAAGATGGGCATGGCATGACAACCCCAGCAAGCCGCTCTGTGAGGACTGGAACATGGATCCCTTCAAGATGCTACCGACCTTCGGTCCTCATCTTATAACCTGAATCTGTACGCATCTCGACTACAGATTCGAAGCTCCTACAGCATGCCACTGCAAGAGTTTGGGGGCAAGCCAGAAACTCAGAACCTTAGGCATCTCTAACAGGCCGCCAGGCTGGCATGCATCAAACGTTGTAAGACTCATCAGCACGTGAAGTGCCCAAGTTTGGCTCCCAATGCACGCAACGCGCGAAGCACGAAAGCTGTGGAGTCAAGGGCCATACGGCTTGCAAGTTGCAGGATGGCTTCTAAAGTGCCCGTTTTCAAAACTCAGGTCAAGCGGAGCTTCCTCCTTCCAACCCCCCGCCCTACATGCAGAAGTCGAATGTCAAAGGCATCCCAGACTTGACCTACGCAGATCTGTCAATCACACCCCGGCTCCGTGCTGCCACGGCACCTTCGTATCCAGCCCTGCAGCCTTCGAAAGGGCAGCTCACGAAAGCTCAGTGGACGGTGCACGATGAGATGTTTGAGGACAATGCCTACCCTTGAGAAATGCTAGACCCAGCAGACTTGGTTCCAAGCCGCTCGCTGCAGCTCTCTCAGAGCCATACTTCCCCAGAAAAACAGCGTATTGCAAATCAACCGGGCACCCCTATGCAACACGACGCCAGCTATGATCCCCGGCGCCTTCGAAGTTTGCGCTGGAGTTGCGCTGCTCGAAGCGGCCTTGGACATATGCGCCGCCACCTGGGATAGGGGCAGACTTAAGTCTTAAAACTACATTTGGCGTGTGCCTAGCACCCACTCTTTCAAGCAGCCAGATGGCGGCAAATTACTTATCGCGGCATAGTGCGGGTCTCGGGGGTTGCAAGGATTTGCAAGGTACAGCGGATGGAGGGAACCCTGCACCGCCACAAGTCCCCTCAGTCTCGGGGAATTACGATGTGTTCAAGACCATGGCAGAAGATTTCCTCCATCAGCAGTATATGAAGTGTCTCGGAAATCGTGCTTCGAAGTTCGAAGCATCGGATCAACAGGATGATTTTGCAACGGGGCATTGATGGGTTAGAAGGTATGTAGCATGAATGAAGGTTTCAGCACATTCAGCGGCAGACCATTCCTGCATTCTCAGATGCCTGCTTTTCGGAATGGATATGGCAAACAACTTAGATCCAAATTCTACTTCCCTCTAGCCCCTTGAGCACGCCCGACTGCAAATGAACAAGCAGGACCGCCAAGGCTTTGTAGGGAAAGGAGAGAAGAGGATGGCAGACCAGCCTTCCAGAATTGCAGGCCGCTACAGCGGATCAAGCCAACATTAATGGAAAATAGAATGGAAACTACTGTACTATATTAGGTTACATAGGGGCTATGTTAGGGTTATATGGGGGCACAGATCTTCAGTCAAAGATCACTTCCCTTCAGAAACAGACCGTGGTGTGCATTCAGAGACTCATAAAATGTCAGGAGAGCAGAAGATCCACAGTCATACTGATACCTGCATCCACCTGTAGACTAGAGGCATCGTGCAACAAACAGAAGCCTCAGGTCTCAAAGATCAACGTTTCCATCCCCTTAATCAGGTGCAATTCTCAGGGGCCTGGGACAACTATATCCACAAACAGCTTCAGCAACAAGGACTGAAGACAAGTACCAGGCTGCCACAGCACAACTCCAACAGTTTGCGTCTCAGCATTCTTGCGACCCACTTGGGTCTAAGGGCAAGTTAGCTCAAAGGGCAAAACGTGATGTGCCCTCAACCCTGAAGCTTGCCAACCACTGCTTCAGACCGTGATTGGCTGGCAAAGAAGAGGGGGCACAAGATGAGACGTTCAGGTTACATGCCTGTGGTGATACGTAAGAGTTCGGGAAGTTTCAGGCTATCGTCCACGCAGACCTCATGGAAAGCAACTGCCTCAGAAAAGCCTTGCAAATCCTTCTACATGAGCTTTCCCGGTGCGTTTTCATTCTGACCTTCCGGAACTGGAGCTATGGAAACACGATTGCGCGCCCTGCAGCACAATTTTAGAAGATGCCAAGGATGGGGGCAAAGCTCCAACAACCCGGGCCGGTAGTGACCTCATTGCCTTATGGCACAAAACAACTCGGACGCTGAGGATGTCTTTGTAGCGAAACAGTAACGGGTCACCTGCTCTCTAGGTTTGAGCCCCTTCGCCTGACTATCTGTGGGCTTGCAGGGCGTACACGCCTGTGTTGTCTGAGTGGCTCTGCAAGAAGTGAGCAGAATGCGAGGCCTTGACACTTATCTACAACTCGTGGTTTCTTCGGGCTGTGACTGGTAACGGCAACGGATAAATAAAGCCCACAGAAAGACGGAAGGCAGCACCGCAGAAATCTCATTTTCAGGCACTGGCTAGTGGATGCCAAAATCCCATGTCCTGTGTTGGCTCCTTCGCAGCACTTGACGATGTGGATAGGACACGGAAACAAATCAAACAAAGAATAAGAGGCAGGGAGCATGGATCCCTCCGGAATGTTTAGGACTTTCGGTCATCATCTTAGCCTGAATCTTCACGCATTCGACTACAGATTTGAGGCCTGCTCTGCTCAAGGATCAGACCCTGAACCTGCCCTCAGTTCAAGGCCCTCTAGAACCTAGAAAAACAATCCATGCCCCGAGCACGCACACCTCGAACATGCGAAACTCAAGAGCCTGCCGATGCACTTAGCATCAGACTCCAAAGGACTCCATCCAAATGTTAATTTGGGAGCAAGCCATGTACAGCCATTTCTGTAACACTACAGGAAGAAGCCTCCGGATGAAAAGGGAAGTCTCCTGTGTCATTGCAAGAAAGGTCTGCCAAACTTCAGACGCCTCCCGGAAGCCCAGTTGAGCGTGTTCCAGGTTTACAAGCCCGAGGGTAATCTGCGCTTTCAGGCTTGTACAGTCTTACGTCAACTGCTGTCAGCTCCATCTGTTAGGCTGCATGCATCAAACGTTGTAAGACTCATCAGCACGCCAGACGCGCGAAGCGCGAAAGCTGTGGAGCAAGGGCCCTACGGCTTGCAAGTTGCACGATGGCTTCTGGAGTCGCCGTTTTCAAACGGAGCTTCCTCCTTCCACCCACCCCCCCCTTATCTGCAGAAGTCGAACGTCGAGCCACTTGACCTACGCAGCTCCGGTACCTGCGCTCCGGCTCTCTGCTGCCAAGGCACCATACCCTCTGGCGCTGCAGCCTTCGAAAGGGCAGCTCAACAACGAGATGTTTGAGAACAATGGCTAACCTGGAGAAATGCCAGACACACCAGTCACGGACTTGGTTCCAGCAGGTTGCTGCAGCTTGCTCATAGTCATACTTCTCCGAAAGGCTTATGCAAATCAACCGGGCGCCGCTGTGCAAAACGCAAAGTGTGATCCCCCCGCCTTCGAAGTTTGCGATGGAGTTGCGCTGCTCAAAGTGGCCTCTGACGTTAGCACCGCCACCTGGGATAGGGTCAGACGTAAGTCTTAAAGCTCTGACAAACAATCCAGCCCTTTGCTGAATGCGAAATCTGGCAGACGTTTTGAGGAGCACCTTCCAGGTTTGCCTTCGGGAGTTGGACCTGTTGGCGCTTTGCTGCAGTACACAAACCCTCGTCTTGGTATCAACCAACTTGATCCTGGGGATCCTCAACTTTTCACGCCACGCTCTCGCCGTGCTTATCGTGTCCTGGTACTTCCAAAACGGCCAAACAGCTCAAACAGCTCAAATCCCATCTGCTTTCTAGGGCCTGGCGTTCGGAAAGCTTTTTTGGAGGGGGATTTGGGCGCTTGCGCTTCAAGCCTCGGGCCTGAGGATGCCTGAGGTCTTGGGCCGGGCTGAGGCGCAGACCGACTTTTGCTTTGCAGCGGAAGAATGCGGCCGTCGAGCGGAGAAGCCGGAAGTCACCGCCAACATGGACACCGCCCCCGCTTCCGGCCTGGCCAACCGGGAACACGACAGCACCCAGACTTGCCAACAACCTTAACCCATCCCGCACCCGAGACTGTGTAGCTTCATGCTCCATCCCAAGACAAGCATGAAGGATCCCCTTCTGTTGTGGGCACTCCCACCTGGCCGGCAACCCTTCGCAACAGTGTGAGAAGCTGTGACTAGATCTTCAGAGATCACAGCGGTCTGTGGCTTATGGGGTCTTGAGGTTCGGCTTGCCTGCTTTCGTAGCAAGAATCTCAAAGCTTCAGGGTCAGCCGACCCTAAGATTTGCAGGTCGTTGAGGCTGGTTGCTGTACTGTAGCGGGCGCGCGGGTCAGCACTCAGGATGCCAACCTCACTAGCGCTTTGCTCTGGAGCCCCTGATCCCAGGACTGGATGCGTCTGCCGTGCCCCCAACATTCCGGAGCCGTCACGCATGCAGATCTTGAAAAATCCGATGCCCTACTTGCGTACATGTGCCGGAAAAAAGGCATGTGCACCGCATCTCATCTAAAACTGGCAGCCCATCTCCAAGCCTCATCATTGTCCCAGTTCGTGTTTTCGCAGCCAGTGAAAGTAACATGCGTGCCCAGGACGGAGAGGTTCCCAAGCACCCTCATGCCTTCGATGCTTGACTGTCTTCAACTCACGAGATCAACATCCCACACCTCTTCAACTTTGACCACAAGTCTCACGATGCCGGTTAACAACATGGCGAGATGCAGGAACCGTCAAGCGCCGCTGCACCGATGATGTGCAGCTCGCCCTGCAGCACCAGGCTGCCTGACCAGCCGGGTTTGTACCCAGGAGTTTTTTCAGACTGTTTCAACCTCTGTCTTTACGCCTTTACGCGGGATGACAAGAGTGCAGTCTGACACTGCTGAGTTGGGCTCTTTCAGGAGTGGTGTTGTTCTTCCCTCGAAAACGAGCCGCCTCGCACATGCTAGCCCACCTTCGTCACTGAGAAATTGCTGTACTAGATCGGATATGGATGGAGGACGTCTTGCACCAGCACTGAATACCAAATACCAAACATTCTAGAAATTGCTGCGTTTGCGGGGATCCATTTTCGCCCATCCGCAGTAGCAATCTCGCAGCGAAGTGAAAAGCAGGCAAACATCATGATGTTCAGATGTGACGTGCGGCTGACAGGCATAAAACATCTTAGTCTTAACAAACTCGCGCCCAGTATTGGATGCAAGCTACGCTGCTCAAAGCAAAAGATGTCCAAAGAAGAGGCAGTGTCATTCGACCGTTCTGACTCGGGCGCCATCTAAACCTGATGCTACCTTGTATCAATGACAAGAAAGATTATGCGGAGCTAACAAACAGGCATCTGGCAAGAGGCATGACTAATGCTAATACCACACACGCCCTGAGCCCGCCGTGGAACTTCATCGGCTGCTTGACGGTCACCTACCAGGTCGGCTCTGTTTTGCTTAGGGCGCGAGCGCTGGGGAATGCCAGGGGACTTCCTGAGTAGTCTTGTGGTGGAGACAGTTGGGTGACAGGTCTACTTACTAAGTCCCCTCCTAGACAAGCTCTTTGGCAGCAGTGAAGACTTTCAGAATAGAAGCCCCTCGGATAAACCATACGACAACTGGTTAGAAGGCATCAGCTGCCGCCTGTCCATGAGCTCTTTTGGATTCCTAGGGCTTAGAGATAATGGAGAATCAAATGGAAATGAAAATGGAAAATAAAATGGACACTGAAGGAATATAGGGATTTTAGCAGCTCAATTTAAGTTACTGTATATAATATAGGGGAAACCATATTAATTACTAGAGCTTCGCTTTTTTGAGGCCCAATGCTCGCCCTGACGAGACCTTGGGGACCTGCTGTAGGGCTTAGAACTGAAACATATTACCTCCGCTGAATCCTGGGAATACATGAGACAGTGCTAGGACTCTGGGAGTCTGAAATCACCGCCTGGAGAATTCGAAAGGGCGGCTGTATCTGCTTGAGGGTTTTGGTGGGCTTTGCTATGCATGTAGAGTTTTTAAGGGTTCAGGGTTGAGGGCTTCGTGAGCACTAAGGGATGATGCCAGAGGGTTGAAGGAATCGAGAAGTCAGTGCTGAATTTTATTAGGGTTGTGTTTTGGGGTCATATATTGGGGTCATATGCTGGGGTTTTTATTCGGGCTATATATTGAGGTTATATATTGAAGTTATATTGGGGTTATATCAGGGTTTTTATCGGGGTAGCTTGGAAGAGCCTTGCAGGCCTAGGCTGAAACCCCCGGTTAAGAGGCTCTCTTCGTTGTGTCGTATATTACCTGAGATATAACTACGGGCTCTTAAGGCCAAATAGGGCAAAGCCTCCAACCCGCCATGATTCCATGAGTCTTCTTTGCTTACATGAACATCACGTTCTTCAAAATCTAGCAATTCCTCTGGTTGTTTACTTCAAGCGCGCTGAGCTCAAGCTGAGAGTGAGCCGATCATCGATCGCGGAATTGCTTTTCAGGGCTTCCGAGATTTGTAATTGAGATGACGCGTTCTGCAGGCATGCTTGGGAAAGTTGAGGCTTGCTTCTTTATCGGATCGAACTACGCCAATCCAAATGGCTAACCAAGTGCGCGCCTGGACGCCGTTTGCATGCCAGATGCAGGAGTCGTTGACGTGGAGGGGCTCGTCCTGGATCACAATCGATCACTATTCAAGAAGCTGAAGCCCTACCCACGTTGGATGTCAGAATGTGAGCACGCTTGAGCGCTGCTCGGGGCCCAGTTCCTTTTTGCTCCAGCATGGCTGGAAGGCACAAAACAAAGGCGAAGTTTGGCCAAGATTCGACGCTGAAGCTGCCTTCAGTCTGCAGGGAGCAGTTTGGATACACCTCAGCTACAGGCGATCGAACATCTCTAAATCAGGGTGGGGCTTCTTTCAGGCCTTGTTTTATAGACTGCTGGTTGCTGATCAATCAGTCCCACCGACGTAGATCCTGGGACAGGCCCGCATCAAAAGCATGTTCCATGCACTCAGGCTGCAGTTCCTGGTCAAGTTATGTTGCTTGAGGACAAAGACCTTGGGGTGGCTTGGACCCTAAAGCTTCAATTTGCCGATATGCAACCCCTGAATTATCAAGGGGGCTACACTTCCACAATGGCAGGACGCCCCGGGTCTCAGAATTTTCGGCAACGCATATGCTGAAAGCATGGCTGGCAACTCGAGATTGATGCTAAATCTGAAGCTGAAGGCGACAAGCTGAGAAGCTTGCACTGCACGACTTTGAAGAAGGTGCTTAAGGTTTTGGGTTTTGGGTAGGAGCTGCAGTGAAACCCGTCTTGGGACCCTCATCTCCAAGGGTTAATGTCATGGCCAATTTTCGGGCAACGTCCTTTGCTTAGCCAGAACGCAGCGTACCGTCTATATGTCTCCTATAGCCCATACATAATCCTTATATGATCTCGATTTGACCACTACACATGTGCCAAATGGCAACTCTCAGCAGAACCCATGGTTGGAGGAGATGTCTTTGGAGCCGGAAAGGCGGCTCAAGTAGAAGCCAAAAGCCAATCCATGCTTCAGCCGCACAGGCTTAGGGTTTAGGAGTTTAGGTTTTGGGGCTTAGGGGGACTCATCTGATGCTCAAGAGAAGCCTGGTGCGTTGTGTAAGTAAAGGCAACCAACCCTCAAAAGTTGACGAAAAGAGCGACCCGAGACACTACTACTCTTGGGGATTCGGGCCTGCGTTAGGGTTCACGACAAGTGGAATGCAGATAAGCCGCTTCAGAGGTCGCAAGCCAATAGTCGTCCTGGGTTCAGCTTGGAATGCAGCAGGCACTGGCCAAAGCAACACACCCTCAACTTAGTCGCTACAAAACATGGTAACAAGGAATTCGGAAAGCATGAAAAGCCGGCTGGACTAATTCGTTGGCTCACAATGAGGCGACAGACAGGGTTTGAGGTCCCACATCTTTGTTATTTTTTCTTTGTCTTGTTCTTCGCAGGCTGACTAAGAAGCAACCACAAAAGTGGAACTCCATCAATACGCCGTGGAATGAGTGTATCGCAACTGCGTCAGACAAAGCTTGAGAATATGGAGTGCCTGGCCCCTTATGGTCTTTGCCACCCTAGTAACAATTGCAAAACTTGTGCCAAAACCCCTGCCGCCCTAAACGCTCACAGCCGCAGCAAATTAAAGGCAGCGCAAACAGGCTGCCTAAAAAGTATGCTGAAGAACGCCCCCTTCACATATAGGGGAGTATGCCTCAGAATGCCATGAGTGCAACTTTCAGTGAAAAGCTGGCAGAAGTGTTCAACCCAGCGTTAAGGCACGATTTTTGGGGGGAGCACTAAACCGCACAATCTACCGTGACAAACTATGTCAGGCAAGCCACCCATGATTTTTCCGTGACGGAAGCATCTGCCTCACCATCCGCGACGGCCTCAGCTGAATTCGAGCCCGCAACCTTCACCCATCTCAGAGCTTCAAGTGATGAACTAATTTAACTTGGCCCTTTTCATTGTTTAGCCTCTGTTGGGCAGCAAGAAGCCTCCGATACCCAAAGGACTGTGCAGCACACGGAACTTGCCATTCAAAGATGCCTTGCGGCAGCTTCCAACCTACCCGACTGAATCCACATTTCAGCTGCGGCCTGTTTTGCTTTGCTATCCCAAACAGTCTGCCAAGAAATTCTGCCGAAAAACAACTCCTTCAACAAGAGGGCAGCACGTCATAAGGGCAACCATCAGAAAAAGAAGTCAAAAGTGGCGACCCACCGTTAATGCACTCACTGTGCTTGGTGCGGATTGTCATCTTTATCGTCCTTCGCTGCGGTGTGCCGAAGGCAAGCCTAATGCTGAGAATGCACCTGGAGCACACCAGTAGAAGACAAGAAGCCCTGTAGAGTCACACAACGTCAATGTCAGGCAAGGCACTTGCTGCGCCTCCAAAACGGAAGCACCTGCCTCGGCGTTCCCATTGCGAACACTACTTGGAGGGTCAGGGGAACTTAGTAAGTAGATTAAGAATGCAGTAATTAGGTTTACTATATGGGTTATAGGAGTTATTAACCTACTTACTAAGTCGCCCTGACCCTCCAAGTAAGCTCCATAGATCTGGGAGCTTCAAGCTCCCAAGTACACTCCGAGGGGGCTCATAGATGCTGCAAAGCTTGGAAGCCTAAAAAAGTGTCCAGAACCCAGCGCTTGTAGGTCACAGACACGAGGGTTTAGGGTTTAGGATTTAGGATTTAGGGTTTAGGGCCGGTGGGATGTCGTGAGAAGGCAGTATCCAGAGCTTCGTAACCTGTGAACTCTCCTGATCATCACCTTCCGTGCTGGGTTCCGTTCAGAAGTCCCGAGAGCAAGAGAAAGGGCACGGCATATGGACTTCATCCGAGTTGCTGTATGAAACTCCTTGGCGTCATCGCGCCCCTGCATTGAACTTGGACTGCAGCCCTCACAAGGCCCTAAAACCGAACCCCCTAAGTCCACACTCTCAGCATCCTTGCACCGCACAAAGCCAACAAAAGTTGCAACCCAAGGGCTCGGCTAAGTCGCTTTTCCTTCTTTAGTTCCAAAAGCACATCTCAGCAAGGAGCTACAGTTTGCCCATTGGTTTGTTGTGCCTACTGCAGGGCTTGGGCTGACCTCCTTCCTAGCGCTACGAACCCCTGCCCAAGAACCTATAGTAGACACTTGGCTTGCCAAACAATAGCGTATGGACAAGTGCAGTGCTCAAAGCTACCTGGGGGCCTGGGGAAAGCATCTGTCCTTGGTGGAGGTTTCAAGCAAAAACTCGGTCAGAAGTGAGCTTTCGGAAGAAAGACCAACCCTCTAACACAAAGACTGAGCTAAATCAAGCTTGCGGAAAAAAACTCAACCCTCAAGCTCCGCAAGCTACAAGAAGGGCATACTAGCAAAAAAACACTCGCGTTACCTAAACTAATCACTAAAGGTGCCTGTGCCAAAGCTATCGAAGTTTCGTGCCTTCGCAGTGACAAGGAGATGCTCGGATCCTGCTACCTGCCATGTTGTGTAGGTTTATAACTTTAGGGCTACTCGTTGAGGGTCATGGGCCATAGGTGTAAGGCCAAATTATGAAGAAGGACTTTGCGCGGAAGAATCCCTTACACCAGCCCTCCACCAAATGCCAGGAGTCAAGCGGACCTTCCACCTTGCGGCCAATAAGCTTGATGAGCTTGATGGACAACATGCTGCATGACCCTAACTGGGGGTTTCCCAAAATTAGGGGTACCCTTTTGGGGGCCCCTATAATAAGGATTATAGTATTTTGGGTCTACATTGGGGTCCCCCTATTTTGGGAAACTACCAACTACACTACGGCACTAAAATTGCTGGAGTTGTGGTATATAGGGTTCTGCAGCATCCAGCGTTGTAGTATGAACTACTCTTTATCTTCATTGCCCCGATTCGTAAAAAGTACTGATGAGTGTTGTCAAGCCACGGCTTCTGGACCTTTTGGAATTTTGGAAACCTGGAGAAGTATTGGTAACCCCCAACCCCAAAAAACTTAGGAGCCTGTTGAGAATCTAATGTTGGAGCATTGGAATCGCCTGAACCCTCTTATGACCACCTCCCTAGGAGCGCCTCAAGCGGCCAAAGGATCTCCTGTGAAGGTCTCACTGCCAAGCAGGGTAGCAGCACTCCTTGGCATGCGGGTCGAGTCCAGCCCCTGACAACAACATGCACAAATGGCGGACGAGGGCGTACGTCATGGCCATCCATTTGTGGCGATGCTAGATGAGAATTTCACGGATTGGCGGCTTGTTCATCCATGAGCGGGGCCGAATAATGTCCTTCTAGAAACTATCTGTCCATGGGGTCCCTAAACACCCGCTTTCATGAAGAACACTGTTCCAAGGATGACTTCAAGCGCAGAGGAGATGGCTACCTGTCGTTTGTTGCATGCAAGCTCTGGCTGGGAGCATAAGGAGCTCAACATGTATCATTTGCCACTTGCCACTTCCGCTCCTTCTGCAAGGCTGACCCCGAACCCGAAACCATGAAATTGGTTGCAGACTGGTGTGTAGAGCTCAGCATGAAGGACCCGAGACGTGGGTGGGCACTTACAAATCAACACGCAATCAAGACTGTAAGAACACCGAAGATGGGATCAAAAACCTTGAGAAACCACCATGCCTGATTTTAATCCAGGGGCATGGGCTTCAGCATGTGTTCGCCATCTAGAAGCCAGATACGATGCAACATCTCGAGCACAGCTGCAATGGATCCCTGCCAACATCTGCAAGCCTACCGCAGCTGAGCTCCTGCTAACAGCTCCAAAGACGCACTGCCTGGACACAAACATCCCACAATGGGTAATTAGGATTGCAGAACCCCGGAAGATCGGTGAGAATCTTGATAACTTCCAATGTTCGCAACTGCAACCAAGACCAGAAAATCACATCCCAGAAGCCCCCCAAACTCCTGCACCCGCGAAAATCTCAAATTCTTGACCCAAACAAGCCCTGCAGACGCAGCTCCCAAGAGCACCGCGGTCCAGCTTGCCAGCAACCCTCGTCCCATTGCCGCAGGCGGGGAGGCAACGATAGATCGGACTAAAAAAAGCAAATGAAGAAAAGCTGGATCCAGCTTTAAGTCGAGTTGCGGCACTGATACCTTCAGTCTGGGCCTGAATACCATCGCATAGAACTGCAAGTAGTGCTTTGGGGCACTGTCTGTGGGACAGGGCAGGAACCAAGCTACGTGAATGCCGGACCTGCTGCACGCTGCAGGCTGGAAACTGAAGCCTGAGCGGTAACCTGGAAAATGACGCCTCGACCCTTACATTTCAATTCCAAACCGCACACCCTGACTTGTTGGCCCACATGGAACGGAGCGTGCAAACAACGCAGAGCCTCGAGCTCTGGCTGAGAGCCAGAGCACGGCTGCGGCAGAGCATTCTGGGGCTTTCGTGTTAAGGTCCAGCCGAGGATAAAACAATAAGAGTCCTTGAACCAAGGTGAGGAAACCATGCTCTAGGCCAGAATCCCCAGCGCCTGCGCTTTAGTGCAATACAGGTCTTTTTTAGGGATGATAAGAAGGACGGATGATTGTAGGGAGAGACTGCCCACCTCCCTCAGCACCAGAGGGGTAAAAGGGGATGCAGTGCCCGGCTTCCGTGAAGAATTCCAGAGCGAGTGGGTAGGGAGTCGGTAGCCACTTAAGTTTTATTGTCCAACAATAATATGGGTGGATGTCAAAATTATGATCCCTTTTTGGGTACCCTAGATATTTGGTGCCATATTATAATAGGGATCCATAAAGGGACCATAATTTTGACAACCACCCATATAGGGATGCTCCTCCACCTCCTGGGTATCAGATGGAAGGCTTGCTGGGCTTCGGGTTCCAGCTTCGGGTTCCAGCTTACAGGTAACCTGCGCAGGACCTAAACCTAATCTTCTTGGTGGTTGGTGGGGAATATGGGAAAACAATCCCTATATATAGTCCTTATTAATAATGTATTCATCCTAAACACGGCTCAACATGGAGTCCTTCGTTGTTTACCCCCGCGACCGTTGATTTCCAGACATCAATGGAAAATCGGTCCCTTTCTTTTGAAAAAAATCCTCTGCCCACGTGGATGCAAGTTCTGTCTGATGAGTTACAATCCTCTACAACTGAAAACACCTGCGAAGATAGCAATGTGTAGATTGGCGTCTAAGCAAATGAGGAAACACAATACTGTAAGACACCTTGCAACTGCACAGCCGACACTCCAAAACCTAGATTTTTCCTCAAAGCCCGAGCGTGGCCCAAACGGGAGTTGCCTATTTCACTCCCTGAACATCACAACTCAGGAGCCCTCCCACCCTAAACCGTGCAACCGTTAGATGCTTTCCACCTTACTTTTGGTTTCCTCGCGGGCCAACACAGTACGGATGTCGCGGAGGTGCGGCCTGGATGCAACAGCTACTCTAAGAGAGCTTTGGGGAGGGCACAAAGCTTTGGGGAGGTGAAGGGTGGGTGTTCCGGGGTGAAGAGACTTGGGGGTCAAGTTGAGGAATAAGAGGTATGAGGGCTTAGATCCTTTCATCTTCACAGCTTGTCTCAACCAAAATCACCTATACCAAGCCCTATATCTACATATGTATATATAAACATGTATATATGTGTGTATATATATATGTGCCATACCTGAAGTCACTGTTGCCAAGTTAACACATTTAACACATGACAACCCAGGGGATCTTCTCAACATCTCATACGTTCTCTCGACACAACAACGGCCTGGTTGTCTAGTAATCAGTCATGCTGATGGATTCAAACTGAGCAGTCAACACAGCAAAGGGTTTCTCCATGTGTGTAATTCCATGTTACTGGCACCCTGCCTTTGTATGCGCTTGTGCTACAATGTGCCAACACTCCCGGCAATCGGGAGGTCGGGGCTGCTTTGCAATTGCTCAGCCCCTTGCCTCGATCGCCTTGGAAAGGCATCGTATCACGAAATCGTGCTTCGTTGAGGTCGCCCCCTTGCCTTTTTGTCTTCAGGCACCCAACACCCTGCAGCCCTGCAGCAGCGAATCGTGAATGCCAGCCGTTGGGTTTGTTTAGCTCACCCTCCTCGCGCATTCGGAACACACTAATCATACGCCTGTCCGCGGCCGGCTGCAGAGAGCATGATTTATTTTCTTTCAAGCCATGTACCTGCCGAACGCATGAGATCACAGGATCACAGCAGTCAGACTCAGCTGCTCGCAGTCTCTGCTGGAAGTTTCTAAGAGGTTGGCCGGTTAGCCTTCAGAAAGCTGAAACCCTCACCTCAAACGCTGTACCCAAGACCTCACTCGTCCCTCTTCCCTGATTCCCAACAACATACCGTTTTCCTGGTTTGGGAACGTACCATTCGACCGACTTCATGAAGCAAGCATATCCAAAAATCTCACATCTAGTTGCGACTGGAAATTTCCACAGGTAGCTACACATCCTCTGCGCGCCTACATTGCTGTAAACTCCCCCACCAAGATTTCTGTGCTTCACACAGACGGCTGCAATTACATAAGCTGTACCAGGGGGTAAGACAGTCCGCCCTCTTGGCCCCCTGATAGGACATCTCGCAGGGCTCAGGGCTTCGCTAAGGAGAGGCGTAAAACTTGCAGCTCAAACCTTCGAGGGGCCTCAATCCCTGAAAAAGTTTTAGGTTTACGGTTCACAGTTTGGGGAGTAATGGTAGGACTTAAACCCAACTAGAACTGGCACTTATAACTGCACAACTTTGGGCCTTCGACCCTGATCCTATATATCCCTTATATAACCCATCTATTTCCCATTTTCTCTGTCTTTTCCATGTGATTCTCCATTCCTGAACCCGAAATCCAAGCTCTTCGCCCAAACAACGCCCTGCGGGCGAAGCTCCCAGAACTAGAGCTGCCCAGCCAGCCAGCAACATCAGGCCCCATTTGCTCGCAGATTATATACTGGATGTACATAGGGATATGATTCTGTAGTTTAGGGTTTAGGGTTTAAAGGGTACTAACTACCCCATTTCCGCAGAATTAAATGGAGAAGAAATCGGAAAATGAAATGGAAACTAGGATTCTAGGGGTTACACAGTTATACACGGGACGTACAGGAATGGAAAAGACAATGGAAACTAGAATTCAAATGTTAGGGTTTACTGTTTGGTGCTCAGGGTTTCAAATTTCGGGCGCAGGGCTTAAGGAACCTGAGGGGGACTATAACTCCGACCTAAACTGCACACCCTACCCCTTACACACTCAACCCTAAGCTACATGGATAACAGGCACAACAGGCACCAGTCAAACTACGTGGAGCTGCAGGCCCTGTTGGGAGCAAGAGCACGGCTGCAGCAGAGCTTTCGAGCATCCTACTTGGAAATCCAAGATAATCATAACAAAATCCGGGTTTTGGCTTTTATGTTTTTGGAGCATTGCCTTGATGCTTCGGGTTCATGGTCCCATGATGGTGCTCAATGTGCAGGGAATGGTTTGGAGGCTTGATACGGGTTACGCTGGTTTCTGAGGGATCCATCCATGCCCTCTATCCAACTCCATGCTACCCACCAGTAAGGTTAAGAGCTTCAAGTCCCCAAATGTGAATGTTTAGGATCTAGGGTTTAGGGTTTAGGGATGTAACAGCCGCATAAGCTACCATCAATGTGTCTCATATAACGAATAGACATGGGTTCCTTTTAGGGAGTATTTTGGGACTATACTTACCTGCCAATGTCCACCCCGAAATGGCCTCTTAGTAGCTCTGTTCTTGTAAATGATTAACGTGACAGTCATTGGTCTCTGGCCTCACTTAACTTGACGCACGGTGTGGGTAGCGTGGTCGAAATTATACATAGCCGCTTTCAGTCACCCTACATAGTAGAGGCCGCATTTTTACTTGGGATCCATAAAGAGAGAACACAAATTTCACACCGCCCCATGTAAACCCCAAGGCGTGAAAAGGTTGAATACATTCAACTCTACAGCTTTTGCAAGCAAAGTTTGTTCAAGAATCTTGGGGGTCATCAGGGCATACGGATCACAGGCAAAGGTTGTGGCGCTCAATAGGGGTTCCAGGAGTGTACCCTTGGGCGTGGGATCCCTCAAGGGAATCCTAGGGGACTGCAGTGGCTCATATAAGGGCTATCTTGGGGCCATGTAAGCTTTAGCCTAAACTCCTAGTATCCCCT